GTATTTTCCCGGAATCTCCGTGTAAATCTTTCTTTTGTTCATATTTTACCCTAGTTTTATTGAATTTGAGTTTGAATTATGATTATGTTCCCATGTTATTTGCCGTAACCTGATGTAAAAACTGATGTTAGAAAACTACGAAGTTTATCAAATTATTGGGCTACTTTACTTCCCCGTTTAGATTTTTACTTTTCTTGTGATCACTTTGGATTTTCCTTAGTCGCCTCCAAGGCTTCAAAATTAAGGCCCTTAGCATCATTGACGAGTGCTAGAAGGACGAAACAGCTTTATGATGCAATTTATTTTTGGCTCTACCATTTCTCAGTCTGAGGTATGAAAATGTGCTATTCACTTGTGTGTCTTTTGTATAATCCTGTTGCAGATATCATTTTTAACTTTATATTTTGCATTGCATCAGTAACGGTCGTGCGTGTTTGACCCTTGGAAATGCGAGCGGATGGCCCAGGTCATGCGGCACGTCCAGGCCTGCCTTGTCATCCTCAAAGTGATTGCTATGCGTTGCCAGAGAAAAGCGAATCACAAAGTGTGTATTTGGCGTACTCGTTTCCAAGCAAAGCTAGGACTGAAATGCCTTTCCGTAGATCCGCCGACCAGAAGATATCGTTAACAATGTGGGGCATCTCCGAAACATTTGGGTGACGGATTTTTTTTTTAAATCTGAAAATGACTTCCTTTTAACTTGCATTAACTTAAAGCTTAAAGGCTGATAAGACGAAAAACTATTCTATAATTCCAAATGGTGTATTATCAAATGGATGGAATGTTTAAGTTGAATGTTTGTAAGAATAAGGATGTAGATGGGGAGCTACTTGACAGTTTAGGTTACAGTATTGACTTACAGAATTGGAATTTACAGTAAATAGGTATAGATTATTTACACTGCGTATGACTGGATGACTAGTCTCTTATCACTGATGGGTTTTGTTATAAACAAATGGTATCACTTTAGTGAATCAATAAATAACTATATGGATATATCAAAATTATAAAAAAAAATGAATTGAGACGGAATTGTAACATTTGTAACAGTTTAAGAATGGGGTACCCCAGGGATCTGTACTTGGACCTCTGCTATTTCTTCTTTATATCAATGATATCACTAATAATATTTCTACAAATGTCAAACTTTTTGCAGATGACACTTCCTTATATATAACAATAGATGACACTCCAGCACAGGCAGCTCAATCTCTTAACACAGACCTAACTAACATTGGTGAATGGGCAGCAATCTGGGACATTAAATTCAATCCTAACAAAACCACATCAGTTACCTTTTCAAGAAAACAGTACACAAATCACCCACCAATATACTTTCAAGATAATCAAATCACAGACACTTCAACACACAAGCACTTAGGACTAACACTTCAAGATAATGCCGCATGGAATCAACACATTCAGAATATATATATAAAAATCTTACAACAGACTAAACATTCTTCGCCTTGTGAAAACAAAAGTTAATAGGAAGTCATTAATTAAAACATATGTAACATTTATCAGGCCACTATTAGAGTATGCAGATATAATTTGGGATAATTGTACACAACAAGATAAAGATCTTCTTGAATCCATTCAACTTGAAGCAGCAAGAATCATTACAGGACTGAGATCTGGGACTTCACATGAAAAATTATACAATGAACTGGGTTGAGAAACACTAGCGGTAAGAAGAAACAAACACAAACATATAATGATATACAAAATTATACATGCACAGACACCACAATATTTACAAGAAATTTTAGATCCTATGATTAATACTCAAAATGATAACCCATATCCTCTCAGACAAACAAGGCTTTTTAACCCACCTCTGTGTAGAACCAATACTTACTTCAAAAGCTTCTTCCCTCACATGTGCCGCACGATTAATAACTCTAATACTGATTTCTTAAACTTTCCCTCTATTGCATCTTTGAAAAACAACTTGAATAAAAATATAGAATCTGATAGTAGATCTGTTATAGTATTTAAAACTGAAGGTAACAGAAGGGCTAATATTATTCTTTGCCAGTTAAGAAACTCCTGTAGTAACCTAAATCATGATTTATACAGAGATCACAGTCCTACATGTACCTGCTCTGCTGCAAATGAATCGATGTCTCATTACTTTTTGGAATGCCCTTTGTATGATAACCAAAGAATCTCTATGTTTAATTCTCTCGTCAATTACAACAATCATAATCATATAGATTTAAATATTCTTCTTCATGGCTGTCCAGCTTGTAATGAGCCTACAAATAAATTAATACTTGAGGCTGTTTATACTTTTATTGGTAAGTCGCGTCGATTTACCCTTTATTCAATTTAGAATGCCAAGATGAATGCTTAAGTCAACATATTAGATAATATATTATTAATTACTTTTAACAACAACTGTGTAAAATATTAATTGAGCATGTCTGCTGATGAATAATGTATAATGATATTTCTTGAACAAAAGAATAATTCTGCTAATATTAATTTGTCAATAGTTGGTATACATATGTAAGTACATATAAATCCTTTCAATCAACTAATTGATGACAGATGTGACCATGCATTTTCATGCACATGGACATTTGGTCAAACTGTCAATTATATATTTCTTAAATTTATGTACTAATTTCTATTTATTATACCTAAAAAAATGTTGTACAAAATATTTAGTATACCTACAGTATGTGTGTATGAGTGAAAGTAGGATGAAAGTTAAATACTATGAATTACCTCCCTTTACTGTTGTAAGTGTTACCTCCCTTGCATTTGTTATTTTTCTAATTACATGTGTTTTACTTCTAGCCACTTCAATGTTTGGAGAGAATTAACATAGGCTTTGCCTGTTAATCAATCCAATTTGACGTTTACATCTTGTCAATAAAATTTGTTGAAATGAAATGAACGTATAAACGTTATAATCACATGATCTCAGGAAGAACTAAGTGATATAAATGATAAATTACCGTCCGATTGGTCACAATTGATTACGTTGGAAAGTGCAGAGATGGACTTTCTGGAAATCCAGGACCAATTTATGGAACTTTAACAGGAACTTTCGGAAGGAAAGACGGGACCCTATTAAGGCCAGAAGCAGGTATTGTGTGTAACTCTAAAACAAAAAGAGTACTTACATGTTAAAAGAATAATAATTTAAAGACAAATTTGGTGAACTTCAGATTAAATGTGAAGAAAAGAACAAAAATTCACAGATACACCTAGTAAAAAAACAATAATACTGTAATCGGGGGTTGCAAGAAACATCACAACACCGGAGTTCGTTCTGTATATTTATTACGATCATAAGGACGACACCCTGTAACAAATACAAATAGAACACATTACACTCTTGCCTCTTACATACTATTACAAAAAAAAAAAAAAAAAAAACAAGGGGAGGTAACTCGTACAAGTTAAAAAAAGCGATCTTATTAACTGAAATATGTCACTGTACATTTCGTTTATCTCTTATAATTATACATATAATCTGGTATGAGGCTATATGCTTGGTTATTACAAAATATAACAATATATATCATACCTGCATGTAGTGCAGGGCCGATGATCGTCGAACCACACTCAATAAACTGAGGATCAGGATCACATTCTAAAAATAACAACATACACACTCTTACACACCGATATACACAAAGTCAACAGATATATAAAAAAAAAACTCTCATGAGATAGACACATCTGACCATCATGTACTTTGACAATGAGACTTCATATCACACACGTTTAGCCATTGCCAATTGCATAAATTCAAATAAATAAAAATAAATAAATAAATAGAGTAAAGTGTGAGATTAATAGTAAGACATTATAGATAATAAGACTTACATTAAATCGTCTGTCTTTGTCGGAGCCAGATCTATAGCACAACTGCTAGTTCCAAAACAAACTTGTCATCTGGCAAATTCCCGCCAACTGACCACACAAAGAACAACAAACACAATGACCACACCAACTGACCAATCAGAACACAAGACATAATAAAACACTATGACACTAACGCCACCAAAGGCAATCACACCTTCGGACACGGACGGACGCGGATATATATATATAACGACGTCAACGATAAAATAGGCAAAGCGAAAGCTGGTACTTACGACATGAAGTAATTACATTAAATAAAAACAATAACAAATAACCCTGTTACATCACGACCAGGTGGTCCGAAATGATAGGCGTTTTATGTTACATCGAAGATACCCACTATGCAAATTATCGTCAATATGGAATCAATAGCTAATATGTTAAATTCTTCAATTGTTATGATATTTTGACCAAATAAGGTAAGTTAATGTGAAAGCTGAAATACCAACGAAAGTGAAAAATGCCCAATTGGCGTCTGTATACTTCATTTTCCACATTTTAACCTAAAAACATTGTTTCCTTTACAACAAAACGAGGACCCTTGCAGAATCGGGTTTTTTCCCGATGTCTTCTATCAATTGAGAGAATATTGAAGAGACCAATCTAGATCTGCTACCCTATTGTAGTACTTGTGAACTTGATCCTTTTCCTGGACGCACTTTTGCTCTTTCAGCTCTATGTGTCCCTCTTGACACACGGCCTCAGATAAGAACGTTATACATATATTATACATATATTTATTCTTCATTGTGACATCACTTTGTAATTTGCCTGTAAACTCATCATCAAATACTGGTATAAAATTTTGTTTTATTTACTAAATATCTACATACCTAGATAATTTTATTGCTCATTAGAAAAACCACGTTCATTTTTATTCAAATTTCATATCTTACAGACTGATTTGGTTAATTTGATTTGCCTTTATATCAAGTGATGTTTTGGCTTTAGTTGAGAATATACTGATTTTTTTTCATTTGTTGATTCCTGGATAATGTTATACTGTTAAGGCGCGTGATTACACCTATCACACGTTCGTGATGATTGTCGCACATGTTTGAGGACGAAATGTTTTGGTCTATTTAAACATATGAATAGCGGTAGACATTTCAGAATCATTGTTTCCGAGGCACCACTCCTCTTCCGAATGTCTTGTCAAGTCTTCTGACGAAATTCAAGGCTTTCACTTTGATGGGCGCAGGTACTTGGGTTCTCTGGTGCATATAAAACTTGATCTTTTTGTAGTGTCCTTCATTCATTCTAAACGCGTGCGTTTCTTGCTCCAATTTCTGAATGGTCGCATCAAGATCCGCTTCCATCAGCTTCCAATATAAAGCTGAAAATATTAAAAAGGAAAGCGAATTTAAGGGAAACCAGAAATCCGACAATACTGATTTCTCGTGTAATTTCTCCATATCACAGATATATCAGACATAATAATGCAATCTAATCCTTTCCGCATTTGGCTCCTTAATATTCATGGAGGCAAAACGAAATTTCAGCTAAATATCAGTATTCTAAAACTTGGTTAATCTCACAAATACAACTTTTTTATACTACCCTGTCTTCTGTGAAGAAATAGCAAATTAGTACCATAAGCTCGTAAACTTATACATTATACGTACCTAGTACAACTTTGCTGTACCGTGGGTCACGTTCTCCTGACGGGTTTGGCCGCATCCAGTTCAAAATATCCTTTTCATGGCTAGAGAGATATGTCACTGGGGAAGTGACGTCATATTTTTTTGTGATATTATCTAATGTTATTTGAATCACTCGGGCTTGTAATTTCTTTGTTCTGTCCTGAATTGCCGGTTCCTTGCAACTGTATGCTGTTTTAAGTGAACTGCTGAAGCGTCCGTTGACTATGTCAAATATACCACCTTCTGAAACGAAACTATCTTCCAACTCATCGAGATTTTGAGCAATATTCTCCCGTTTCAATCGATTGATAAAAGGAGATAACTTTTCAACGTCATTCATGTGAGCTCGTGCGATCGCCATTTTTACGTCTTCATCTTCAATATCTTTAAAAGCGATATCGGATGGATAACTTTTGTCGACGGTTCTCAGAACACGATCTTTGGCTTCCTTTACCCTCGTTCGTCTTTGCTCCTTCATCATCTCATCGAATGTGTAAAGGATTTCCTCTTCAACGCGTTTGTTGAATTGATCTAACAATCCAGCTTCTTCAATGGACCTGTGAGAATCAATTTATTCAATAAAGAAAAACGAGAACAAATATTTCTAAATTGAGTTTGGCATGGAATGTTATATCAAGTTCGAAAACTCACAAGAATGTCTACTTTAAAGATATTGCATTCAGTTTTTCTTCTTTTTGTTTTTCATTGACACACTCACACACCAGGTACCTTTTCATTGTGTTATACACGTCCGGCACAATAGCTGTAACATCACCAGCAGCATAGTGTATCATTTCGTCAGACAAGGGACGTTTAGCCCAGAGATCGCCAATTTCTCTTACCCATGTATTCTGTACCAATGAGATTTCCTTCGTATAATATCAATATAAAGCACGATCCATTCAGTAATCTATATTGATGTTATAATCCTTTTGTGTCACAGCACCGAAAGTAAATTTAGTATTTTCATTTTAAAAACGTAATGAACAGTTATCCCAGATGGATATTGGCCTTCACTGGTTTTATTTAAGAAGATAAAAAAAAATAACACCTCAATCCAAATTTAAAGTTAAATATGGTACATCGTTATACAAAAACTGATCATAATGGAGTTTCTTCCTTTTAAGATTCAGTGATTAACCTTTGATGCGATTGAAGAAAATTATAACTGACTTAATGAATTGTACAAACTTTGATGGAAAGGTTGGCCTATCTTTATATAATTTTGATATTTTCCTTTGTACTAATTTTTTTCTAAACTTACCAAAGATATGAAATATTCTAAATCTTAACGAATTATTGGGCTAATGCACCTACTGAACTACAATTGAACATATATTTTGATCACTTTGGATTTTCCTCATTCGCCTCCTAGGTCTAAAATTTAGGCCTTTAGCATCACTGATGAGTTCTAGATGGACGGAATATCTGTATGATCAGTTTAATTCATTGTTCACCTCTACCGTGTCCTATTTAAGTTTGTGTCTAATGTACAGTGTTTGTCCTCTTGCCACTTATATCCCTTCTAGCATTCACCTTGATCTGCCGATCAAGCCAATAATTGCTAATGCACTATCAAAGAATAAACGGGAGCGGCGCAGGGCCTATATATGAAATCTGAATCTGATGATAAATTGTCAAAGTCAAAATCCCAGATGGTCACCCGTCTGCAGTATTATTTTCTGGGTCAAACCAAAAAAGTCCAATGTACAACTAGGGATCAAGAGGTACGGTCATATATAATTAAAAAATGGGAAATTCAGTGCTTCTCAAGAAATACGACAAAACAAATATTGTTTATGAAAGAAGGGATGGACCAGGTGCGAACAACATTTCAAACAGCTCAAAGTTTGATGATGTGGGTATAAAAATATGAAAATATGCAATGAATGAAGGAAAAAACAACTAAAAGCACCGGTTAATCTTAATCTACGCATCTATTATAGCTACTTACTTTAACCGCGTCCTTTTCATCAGCGACTTTAGCAACGGATGAATACTTTTGACATAAATCATCAAGTTTCATTAAAGGAACCAGTTCTCGCCCCTTCCTCTCCTCTATTACTAGGTTTGCTACCTGTACATTGAAATTTCAGAAAACTATTTTAAGTAGTTCAGAATTTTATAAGAATAACACAGGGCACTGACAACAATAAAATACCAACATGTCAACATAATCATAATCCTAACTCAAAGTTAATCAATCCAAGACCAAATGTGACCAACAAAACAAAAAAATACCGACATGTGAACATAAAAGTAAACTCAAATCAAATCTAAGCAAAGTAAGAAAAAGTTACACACCAATGATTCGCTTTCATGCGGGTCTATGTAAACATAATTGATTTGAATGTTTGAATTTTTGAAAGATAAATAACAGAATGTAAGCGTTTGATCTATGTTATAGATTAAACCGTTGTAAATTTTCTAAAGTAAGAATTTAAAGTAGGATTACTTGTGTATCAAACACGTTGTGGAGTCGGATGTTGAACTGGTAGTACAGGGCAGCACTATCACCAGAGCAGGAATGCATCACCTAAAAAAAACAAAATACCAACAGAATATGAACTTCAAATTAATAACACCAGGACAAAATACGAACAAAAGAAACATTTTCAAGTATTCGACCAGGCGTTCCGGAAGAGCAAGCGTTTACTTCAACGACATCCGCTATGTAAATTTTGGTCAATCCACGAAAAGCATGTTACGGTCCAAAAATAAGAACGACCCAACCAAATCAGAGCTTAAGAGAGTAAACGATAACAGCCAATGTTAAAATTATCTTATTTGTTGGTTCATTATCGTGAGAGGAACTACTCTATTATAGTCGGAATTAATTGATATATTCAATGCTGACAGCGTTTTGCACGAGGATCAATTTAATATATATTTGAATTTGTGTTAATCATCATACTAACGACAAAACAGACTGGTTTGTAAAAGCCAGTCTATTATCAATACAACGATGTTTCATAAGTGAAAAATAGCATACAGTTTATCCGTATCCGTAACAAATTGAAGGTAAGATATTTTTAAAAATTCTACATTTATATACTGATGGTTCAAAAGATAATAAAGTTGCCGAGGCCTTGGCTACCCGGCTACCAAACGACGCCTCAATAATCTCGGTATGCGCTAGCTATCTTCCTCGTCCTTGAATATATTCAAACAAGCAAAGATACAAGAGCGGTTATCTAGACAGACTATCTTTCTGTAGTACAAAGTCTTAGCAATAGAAATATCAAATATATTTTCATCCGTAATAAATTGACCTTTTTGTTGTTTTGATGGGTACCTGGACACATAGTAATACCAGGCAGATAGTGCCGTAAAGACAGCTTTATCGCTTCCACCTATTGTTTTTCAACTTCATTATACAGATTTTAAACCATTTATTAATCAACCGTAACAGCTTAGTGGCAGGAAGAATGGAATACATATGCCAAAAAATAAATTAGATTCCGTAAAACCTATTATCGGTAAATGGTCGCCATGTCATAGAGACAACCATCGAGACGAAGTTGACCTTTCCCGTCTTTGGACAGGCATAACATACCTATCACAATCATATATCTTGAAAGGTGAAGATAACTCTCGGTACATAGAATGTGATGAGCCAATCATGGTTAAACATTTTTCATTGAACTGGATTACCTTCTGTATACCCGAGAATTTTTTTATCGCGACGTTACAAGTCTAAAGACCATTTTTTTAGGTTACCTAAGATGGTGGTCTATATTATAGGATATGATTTACTATTGTAATCTTTTGTGATAATATAACCATTTAAGATTTTTAGCATTTATCTTTTAGTTTGTTTGATGTTATTTCCTTTTGGATCGCTGTGAAATTCACTGGTTGACGGCCCTAATGCCTTTTTATGTGTTGACGGGCCGCTATGAATGTAGCAATGAAAGTATTCGCCCCAAAAAGAAATGAAATCAGGAAAAACATCGCTATGGCGTCAAATTTCTCTTGATGCAAGTTGCAAGAGTCCATAATTGTTTATTTAGAAATTATTTTCGTTTCATTCTATCTGTCCGGCTTCTCCAGATCGTCCTTTCATGCATTAATTGAAAACAATAGGAACATTTGAAACTATTGTAATGTCTTTATTGTAAAATATAACAAATGTGGGAGTTATATGTCTTATTTTCTTTCATGACAGCATCCTTAATATTCCAGGAGTTACGATCACATTTCATGACAAAATTAAAGCCACAAGCGCTGATACGCTCCTTTTGAAGATTCCAGAGCAGCGACACCAATCTTCAGAACCATTGCAATATACCGTTATGTGACATCGAGATTCGTTTGATATACATCAAAGGATAAAACTAGTCTTTTCATCTCGTCCAAAAGGTGTAGCGCATTGAACTTTCAATTTTGAAATGACAAGTTCCAGGGATGAAGAGAGCGAAAGTGATAGTAATCACTGGAATATGGAGGACGATATAACAGTAATCATCTATGTCATTCCTGAAAACAAATATTCTTACCTTAATGATTCGGTTTGAAGTCAGTATGTCCTGTAGCCTCCCCTTTGTAAACAGATCCTTGTTAACGTGGATGTCAAATAAAAAGACATCATGATCAATGGTTCCCACCTGTAGTAAAGTCAAAGGACCATCTTTACCCAGCTGGACCCCTTCGGCGTCTACTGCGATGACGTCACACTTCTCGAGCTTCCGGACGACGTCAAGACACCTGCTGACGTCAACGACGACCTCGACATTTCCACTTCTTGACATCTTGCTTTTATTCTGATAAAACTTTTTATGATGTGTATCTGTGAAAACAAATCAAAGGAACCTTATGAAACAATGTAAGGTTAGCATACAAATGAAATTCGAGATTGATCTTTTGAGCGCTTTCCACGAAAAAGCGATAGGATGACATGTTCAAAGACGGGCGGGCAACTGATAAAATAGATGATCATATTACAGTTTTTACGTTTTTTGGGATAGATGCAATAAATTCACATCCACTATCTGAAAATCGGATCGTGGCTGAGAAAAAGGTAACACGCATTCTTCTTGTCGAGGTAGCACAAGACAATAGTCACGTGGAGACATAACAAATGGTTGTAAAGAATATGATCACGTGATTTCTCGAAGCACACAACACAGCGCAATAATGATGTATCCATATAGCTTGACAACCAACAATGTAGCAGTCTACGGGAGACAACTCTGGTTTGTTTTTGTTGTAGTGCCATTGTTACTATTAATAGTAACGTATTAATTCATAGAAATTATATCCCCATATTACGTCAACAACAGGCAGAAACGTGATTGTGGGTAACAATGTAGTCATATGTTTTAAACAAGTAATCTACAGAGACATATATATCTTGTACATGTGTTAAGTTGTCGTTGACTAAATATGCTAGATATATTGACTGGTCTGATAACAAACTACAACCTAAATAAATGACAAACGCCCTGTTATGATCTTACCTGGGTAGTGGATGAGGAAGTATAAAAGTCACAGTCTCCACCTTGTTCATCCACTTCTGGAATAACGTATATTTGCATGTCATTTATATACTATCCCGATTGCACAACGGATGTTACTATATATAGAAACGAAAGTAGATTATCGATTTTCGCGTACACGAGTTGTTTAAATATTATATTACACATATGTGTTATCGGGTGACTTGCAGAAAATTAATGGCTATTTATAACATCACGATTTCTGTAAACCGCCTGTTAATGTTTGACATCATTACTATTTTTGAATTTTTTTAGAAAACTATGTACTGAAAAAAGACAAATTAATGTTATCTGCTTTGGACGACAAAAATTGAATAAAAAAATACGGTGGCGGTTATATGAGTTTTTCGGTCAAATCTGAGGACCTTACCGTACACAGGATTATAAGAACAGCCAAAAACGTTGGTCGATTCATTACTATTTTCGTGTAATCACATTTAATGTCCATGTTCAGGTCAATAGTGTTACCCGTTAGTCTTGGTCTCATCTGTCAAAAGTCCATATAAAACTAAATCAGGTCGTGAAGTTCGGAAACCAAGTCGGTTCCAGTGAATATTAACATATACAAAGCTTAAAAAGTTATAGTTCTAGTCAAAACAATATTTAGTAGTGATTTCCTTGCAGGATGTGTTCCAAGTGTTCCCTGAGGTGTTCCGTGACGTGTTCCAATACGCGTTCCATTGTTATATGTTCTTTGATCTATTCTTTGGTTTGTTTATGTTATACTACTCATTGACGAAGTTCAAGAACATTGTGATTTATTTTGCATATCATTCAATATAAAATAGTTTTTATCATTTACAAGAATTACAACCGTCGTATTGCTTTTATAAAAAGACTTGATCTGAGAACTGTGCTAAATGATAAGAAACACTATTGATATGGTAAATATAACTCATTTTATTATTAGTGTTATAGTGTCAAAGATCTTTCAGTTAAAAAGAAAAAAGAGAGATGTCGTGTAATCACATTTAATGTCCATGTTAAGGTCAATAGTGTTACCCGTTAGTCTTGGTCTCATCTGTGTTTGTAATTGTTAATATGTATGTCAAGCGTCTGGCTGAATAGAATGTTGTTGTTACAAGACATGGTGTGGTTCTTTGTATGTGACATGGTGTCAGAAGCGGGATAAAGTCAAATCATTGTCAAGAGATGGACTGGTCATCAAACGACCTACCGACGGCATTTAAATCATTCAAAACGCATTGTGAATTTACATTTGGTGGACCGCTTGCTGGTAAGAATGAAGAACAAAAATGTAATTATCTAATGCTATGGGTTGGAGAAAAGGGAAGAAACATCTTCTCTACATGAAATGTAACCGCAGATGATAGAAAAAAACTCGAAACATACTTCAATGGATTTGTAAACCTTGTAAACCTAAGTCAAATATAATATTTGCACGGTATCGGCTGAAGTCCCGGGTTCAGTCTGAAGATGAACCGTTTGAACAATTCATGACAGACTTGAGAGTCTTATTTAAAGACTGTGGTTATGCTCATGAGATGGAAGATGAAATCGTCCGTGATCACATTTCTTCGGTGTCAAGTCAGCTAAAGTTCGAGAAAAACTGACACTACAGAAGTCAATGGATATAGCCAGGACACACGAAATATCCCAGAAACAGCTGAAAAGTATGTTTAGTCAAGAGGACCCCAAGGTCAACGTCGTTAAACAAACAACGAATAAGAAGAGCAGAAATACACAAAGTACGAGACAGAGATATGAAAAAACTGAAGTGAAATGTAACAAGTGTGGGTATGAACACAAATTCAAAGGAGCAACATGTCCTGCATATGGAAAGAAGTGTAATTTGTGCAAAAAGATGAATCATTTTGCGAGCCAATATCGTAGTGAGAAACCAAAGTACAACAAAAAGAACAGTAAAATGTTAGTACAGATGGTGGAGAATAACCTCACAGATGACAGTACAAGTGATGATAGAGAGACAGATTTGTATGTAGGAATGGTAAATGACTTGCCAGTAAACAGACTCAATGATGATTGGACAGTATGTTGTATAGTGAACAACAAAACATCAAGAACACACGTAGACACAGGGGTCAGGTGCAATGTTATAAGTCCAACAAACCCTGAAGTCATTACAGGTGAAAACCCCACTAGAGAAATCTGAAGCCATGCTGAGGTCGTATAGTGGTCATGCAATTAAATCAATTGGAACTTGGAAGCTTCAATGTAATTTCAAGGACAACAACAATCATGTGATACAATTTCAAGTAACTGAGAAAACAGCCCCTACAATCATAGGAGCAGAGAGCGCTATGTCGATTGGACTGGTGAAACGCTTATTTGGGCTGAACAGAATCTCTACCAACAATGATAGTCAAGTACGCTACGAAAAGCTAAAAGAAGAGTACAGCGAACTATTTAGTGGAGTAGGCTGTCTACCAAGATATCACACAACACATATTGACAGTACAGTACAGCCGGTGATACACCTCCGAGAAAAGTGCCAGTGGCATTAAGGGACAAGGTAAAACTGGAATTGGCACAAATGGGAAAAAAATGGCATAATTGTGCGTGAGAAAGGACCTACAGACTGGGTTAATAGCATGGTAACGGTTACCAAGCCAAATGGTAAAATCAGAATATGTCTGGACCAAAGAGATTTGAATACAGCTATCAAGAGACAACACTATCCTATGTTGACCATTGAGGAAACAGTCGCACGGATTCCGGAAGCCAATATTTCTCCAAACTGGACAATATGTCTGGGTTTTGGCAATTACAACTTGACGAGCCCAGTTCAAAGCTATGTACATTCAACACACCATTTGGACGCTATAGATTTCTCCGCATGCCATTTGGATTGAACTCTGCACCCGATGTTTTTCAGTCAGTAATGTCAAACATGGTGGAAGACCTTGATGACGCAGAAGCTATAGTAGATGACATTTAAGTCTGGCTAAAGTCAGTCGAGGAACATGACAGAAGGCTACAAGAAGTCCTTCAAAAGGCCAAAGCTTATAACCTCACATTAAGTGCTGATAAATGTCAGTTTGGGAGACAGGAAGTGACATATGTTGGCCACGTCCTTAGCAAGGATGGACTTAGACCAGACCCTGACAAGGTTAGAGCGGTTAAAGGAATGAAGGTACCACAGAATCAAAAGGAACTGATGACCTTCTTAGGATTTGTACAATATCTAGCAAAATTCCTGTCAAACTTGTCTGAGGTAGCCGCACCACTAAGACATCTACTGGGAAAGGACACACATTGGGAATGGAGAGCCCAACAGGAGGAAAGTTTCAATAAATTGAAGCTGATGGTGATCAAGGCACCAGTGTTGACATACTTTGACACAAACAAACCGATTGTAATGACAGTGGACAGTAGCTCAAAAGGAATGGGTGCAGCAATCATACAGGACGGTAAACCTATTGCACATGCATCAAAGGTACTAACTCCTACTCAGGAACGCTACTCACAGATAGAGAAAGAGACTCTCGCAATAGTGTACGGATGCACAAAATTCCATCAATACCTTTATGGGAGGAAAGTTCAAGTGGAATCTGACCACAAACCGTTACAGAGCATATTTAAGAAGTCTGTGTATCAAGTACCTGCTCGTCTTCAGAAACTGTTGCTCACACTCCAAAAGTATGACCTGGAAGTGACCTATAAACCAGGCAAATTGTTATATGTAGCTGACACACTGTCAAGGGCATTCCTAGAGGAAACAGGAAACTTTAGTAGATGATCTTGCTGTCAAGGAACTCTATTTGTTGGCATATTTACCGGTCTCATCAGAAAAGTACAAAACTATCAAAGAAGGTACAGAGAATGACCTAGAGATGTCAAGGCTGAGACAACAAATAATGACTGGTTGGCCGGAAACCAAACAGGAAGTTGATCAACAAATTCAGACATACTGGAATTATCGCGACGAAATTGCCTGCATTGATGGATTGATATTCAAAGGACACAAATTGATCATTCCAAAGTCTCTGCGACCAGAAATGCTTGACCGGATACATGAGGCGCACCTTGGTATGGTCAAATGTAAGGCACGCGCGAGGGAAGTACTATTTTGGCCAGGAATGAGTACTGATATAGAAGAGAAGGTTGTCACATGCAACATTTGTGCTTGACACAAACAGCAACGCAAAGGAACCACATATACCCCACGACATACCAAACCGACCATGGGCTAAAGTGGCAATGGATCTATTTGAACTTAAGGGGCAACATTACCTGCTTTGCGTAGACTATTTTTCAAAGTGGCCTGAAATCTCAAAATTACAAGGACTGACAAGCAGCTCTGTCATTAACCATGTAAAGAGCCAGTTTTCCAAATATGGAATTCCAGACCAAGTCATAAGTAACAACGGACCACAGTTTGCGAGTCGGGAATTTACCAAATTCTCAAAAGACTACGGTTTTCAACACACTATCACGAGTCCACATTACCCCTCATCAAATGGTCAAGTGGAAAGAATGGTACAGACAGTAAAGAGACTACTGAAGAAGGCAAATGACCCATACCTAGCAATACTCGATTATCGAAACTCACCGATCGATGGAATTGACCTTTCATAGATGTTCATGGGAAGGCGACTTAAGACCACCCTACCAACAGCAACCCCATTGTTGAAACCACAAGTGTCAGACGAGATTCAGGACAGTTTAAAGTTAAGACAATTTCGACAAAGAAATTATTTTAATAGACATGCAACAAAAGGTCTCGAACCATTACAAGAGAATGACACTGTCATGATGAAAACAGGCAATGAAAGGACATGGACGCACAGTACTGTAGTTGATAAACACCAGACACCAAGATCCTATGTAGTACAGACATCAGATGGAAAGAAATACAGAAGGAACAGGAAGCATCTCAAAGTAACAAAGTCCTTACCTACACTGGATGATGAGGATATAAAGCTGGAGATCACAAGTCCTGCAGTTCTAAGTCCAACAATACACTCCGAGGTTGACCTCAAGTCACAACCTGCATGTGTACCAACTGTCAGCCCTGAGGATAAGCCTCGTGATTTAGTCAAAAGTCCATATAAAACTAAATCAGGTCGTGAAGTTCGGAAACCAAGTCGGTTCCAGTGAATATTAACATATACAAAGCTTAAAAAGTTATAGTTCTAGTCAAAACAATATTTAGTTGTGATTTCCTTGCAGGATGTGTTCCAAGTGTTCCCTGAGGTGTTCCGTGACGTGTTCCAATACGCGTTCCATTGTTATATGTTCTTTGATCTATTCTTTGGTTTGTTTATGTTATACTACTCATTGACGAAGTTCAAGAACATTGTGATTTATTTTGCATATCATTCAATATAAAATAGTTTTTATCATTTACAAGAATTACAACCGTCGTATTGCTTTTATAAAAAGACTTGATCTGAGAACTGTGCTAAATGATAAGAAATACTATTGATATGGTAAATATAACTCATTTTATTATTAGTGTTATAGTGTCAAAGATCTTTCAGTTAAAAAGAAAAAAGAGAGATGTCGTGTAATCACATTTAATGTCCATGTTAAGGTCAATAGTGTTACCCGTTAGTCTTGGTCTCATCTGTGTTTGTAATTGTTAATATGTATGTCAAGCGTCTGGCTGAATAGAATGTTGTTGTTACAAGACATGGTGTGGTTCTTTGTATGTGACAACTATCTCGTACACTGCGTACGTCAGTGCTAGTGAGTTTCATACTGGCCATTTGTCTGATGAAGGTGACAATCTAGTCACTGAAACGTCCCACTCTAATCTTCTACTGGTTGTGTTTTAAGATGAAGGTGACAGTGTAGTCTTGGAAACATCACACTCTAATATTCCACTGGTTGTGTTATAAGATAAAGTTGACATTGTAGTAATGGAAACATCACATTATAATCTTCTACTGGTTGTGTTATAAGATGAAGGTGACAGTGTAGTCATGGAAACGTCACATTCTAATCTTCTACTGATTTTTAGCACAACTCCTACTCTACTTGAGAATCAATTCAATTATGTATAATTGTGTGCCTTTTTAGAGAATGACCATGTCAGGAACGACGATTTCTGTAAGTTGCTGAAAGGTGGCATTAACTTGTCTTGTGTACATTTTTCTGTCAATAAAACAATCCATTTCAGTTAACACAGATCATGCTTAAAGATTTGTCTCCCTTTCCACGACAAACAATAGCTTAATGTTCGACCGAAGACAACCCCCTGTATTTTGTTTGTTCAAGACAAATTTAGGATTAGACCGTGGAGCCAAAAAATAGAACTCGTCAATGATGCCAAGGAATTAAACTGTTATAGCCGACTACGATACATTGTCGGTGGCCTAATCAAACGTTAAAAACCAAATAGGGACTTGCAAATGTTATCATATTTAAGATTCGAAAATAGACAAGTGATTTTCAAGTACCCCAATATCAATATAATTCTGCATATTCGTGTGTTTAGTTAGAGAAAGTCGAAGGCTACATTAAGCACGACGATTTCTGTAAATTGTCTATTAAAGAAGTTGTTTATATAAATTGAAGGTTATATTTTTATCAGTTCTAATCTTCAAAAATGCAACAGGCGTAGGGGCCTTAACGGTCATCTGACTATAAAAACCTCTTTTTATGGTGTAATTGCAAAAATACCTCACAATTCAGTTCCAGAACATGCCTACAAATTTCGTGGTCAATGGCACCGGTCAGACAATGCAAAAAGTTTACAATGTGTTCTTTGTTTCAAAGTTGGCGGTCGTGAAAACGTTTTATAATTTTAGAACGATCCTAAATTACCAACACTTGGCTAGAATCATTTCAGCTGAATCATACTGATGGCACTTGAGAGGTATTACTTATGTTTCGGTCAGGAAAGCCCTGATTACATATCAATGTTAGAAAATGGCCGCCATGGCTGTTACATTCAACTTTCGCAAGACCAAAAAAATATTGACACTACGTTATCTTACTTTCCTTAACATCCTCACTATCTTTCTCCTCGAATCTGGAACTTCAGAAAAAAAATGAATTTCAAGATGGCGACTATAATCACTTTAGGATTGACCCGAAAAATGACCAAATTTAATCAAGACCATCTCCGCATCGTTTCAGGTTAGTTTCAATTAATCCTATTTGTGGAGCCCAAGTAGTTAAATATGTGAAAATGTTTATGTACAGTGGACGACGGACGAATCTCTTAATTTTGAGTCGGTTTTAAGGTCACCTGAAACAAATGAAGTGACCTATTTCGATCGCGTTTTGACAGGCATCATTCTTCACTAACAATTGTCATTTTCGACATCTCAGTATTTCAAGAATTACTGCAGACACATTCATTGGTCAAACGTGAACCAGAATTGTCAATTTTACGGCCTCACCACACAGGGGTAAGGAATGGGACAAAATTCATCTTCTGAAAATCAAATCTGATAGAATCAAACATCTGTCATAGATGGACTGGCAGGTGCTTTAACGAAATTGTAAATTTCCTGTGTAATGTTAGTAAGAGAAATAATACCAGACATTTTTGACTTTGAATCACGAACGGACACCTTGACATCGTTATATTACTGATAAGTAATATATCAAATGTTCCAGTAACTTACATGCTACACCAGACAATTATTTGACAATAGTTTATAACCGAATCTGGAGTGGGAAACCCTGGTCATATCTCGTTACCGTGGCGTCTAAGGAATTATTCTATTAATGGACTATGCTGGACAGTGTATTATAGATAAAACCAGTTATTGTTATTGGATGTCTAGACGAGTGTACACGAGTCTATTGACATTCAATAACTGGATCGTATCATGGTTCGCCAATCAACTGCCATGAACCAACCACATTTGTCCTGTGTTCTTGAGTACATTTCCCGTCAAAAGCAAAACTTTGTGAGTTCGGGTTTTTTCATGATTAAGCCTGCTGCTTACTACAGGTATGGCCTTCACAGTCCAGTGGTTTTAACACGCAAGTTGCTGTATAATTTAGTGTGCAATAACGTGGAAGTTATTGTACACTTCTGGTGTCCAATAACTACCAGATATTGGAAGTTATCGTACACTTCTGGAGTACAATAACTTTCAGATATTGGACGTTATTGAACAGTTAAGTTATTGGATGGGATATAAGAAATCAGTCAAGAAATATGTACAAAGTCCCAAGTCCTTGAGGAAGTGTGGAGTATATCACTTGTGTTGCGGCCGTAGATTTCGAAGTACACAAGTGTAAAGCTGATTATGGCAGTAGTATGATACAAGTTTAATATCATTAATCCGTGCTCTTTACCTGGGGAAAAGTTTTTTCAAGGATTTTAAGCCATTTGAACCATGTAGCATTGAAACGGCGCTAAGGTGATTCATTTGAAACCGACTTGTGCATTTCCACCCAAGCATACTATAGGCTCAGCGTCAATAACGGGGACTTAACAGCTCTGTTACATATTGAAAGTGGGTTGTAGTTTAATTGAACATATCTTCGGTTATTGAGAGAAATCGTTCTACGGGAACATTTGCCGCAAGACAGGCTATGGAATATCAATAAATATTTCATCCGGAGCTCTCGATATTGATATTTAGGCTTTTTATATATTAAGGTTTGATGAGTCTGTCGGAAGATTATATCCTAATATTTAAACACGCTTAAGGTCAGACTCACAAAGTCTTATTTCAAGATACAATTACAATAAACATGGACGATCAAAGCAAAAACGACATGGTGAAGAAGAGTTTTTTTTAAAGAAAAAGTATTTTTAATGTCCCAGAAATTAATCCAAGAGCGATTTGCTGGTGTTGAGCTCTAAGGACTGCCTCTATCCAAACAAATATCCTCGCACATTCACCATACTTATCAATTGACACAGACGGTTACATATGAAAGCACATAGTTAAACGCACATACCTACAAGCGACACTTAACGTGTTTTGTTCTTGTGCAATATATTAATTTTGGTATCCTTCATCTTGAATATATCTACACAGCTTATAAAGGACCTGTTTCCAGTAATGTTAATTCTCCATAGCAGCCTGCCCCCGTATAATTTCTTATCTAGCTCAACTACGGTTTTTTTCTATTCCGAAAAATAATTTTACACCTTTCCGACACCCAGATTTCATAATTTCAGTGAAAATGTATTTTTTATAAAGTTGTCAATTTCAGCATCAAAGACATAAGTTAGTAAATAAAAGAAGGTTATCTCGAAATTGTAATTCGCAACATAGTATAAATTTCTTTTGATAAATATTTCCAAAACATTGTATTTATTCATAAAACATAAAAAAAATATTCTCGGATGAAAATGCACTTGCAGAGACACAATTATGAAGAAAAACGCCATAAATTTGCAATTTTCTCCCGTTATATAGTTTTGGATGCAAATTGCCATCAGACAATCGGATAGAGCTTTACTTGTTTCATATGTGTACCAAAAATTAGCTAATTCCATGTGGTGGAACGTTCTCATATCGCAGCCTGAATGTGGTTGTAAATTGAAAGAAAATGGGAAATGAGTAACAACCTTGTCTGAAACCCTATTATATAGCTTATTATATACAAACTTTTATATTGAATATCAGAGTGGATATTTTCATGACAGTTTTATGATG